TCGCGCCGCTGCACAACGTCGTCTTCGGGGGTATGCTCAAGGGGATCCGCGACACTGCCGAGGCGATCCGCCGCGGTGGAGAGGCGCCCCGTGAGGCGCGTACGGCGGCTTCTAGCGGCGCCTCCGGGTACGGGCGATCACGCCTTTGGCTTGGCATCTCCGCGGTCGGCACGATCGTTGTTCTCTCATCGCTGGCGCTGGCGATGGACGCTCCAGCTGCGCTCAACCGGCACGCCAACGATTCCGCGATCGGGACGCTGGCTAGTCTGGTCACCTTCGTCTTTGCTTACATCTTGGTCCAACTCCCCTTTGATTTCCTGGGTGGCTACCTCCTGCCACGTTACCACGGGCGTGCCCACCCGACGCTTCCCGCCTTCCTGCAGGGGCTGACCAGGGGAGTCGCGATGCACGCCATCACCCTCCTCGCGTGCGCCTGCTTGGCAACGCTTGCCGGCGCCGCTCTGGGAGTCGTGGGCGTCGTCTTGGCGGCAACGCTGGCGGCTGCGTTGCTATTGCTGACGCGAGCTCGACTGGCGCTGCTGTATTCGCCACTCACTTTGACCCCTAGTGAACCGAACAACCTCCAGCGGAAAGACTACCTTCGAGTGTTGCTAGCTGAATCCGCCGACGAGGGTTTCACCGGGGGCGTGCTCGGCGTGGCACGACCAACGGGCCATTTGCTGCCACTGGAGTGGCGGCGGGTGCTCGGCGCCGAGGGTTTCGAACTGGCTCTGAAGAGGCGGTCGCTGGCGATCGGCAGCGGAGCATGGGGACGTGGGCGTACGGTGGCGATCGGCTTCATCCTCTTCGGAGTCGCCGTGTCGGCTTGGTTGGCGGGTCCCGATCAACTTGGCACGGCGGGCGGAACGATCGCAATGAGCCTTTGGTTTACCCTTTGGTCGTTCTTGGGCCTGCTGGTGCTGCCGACCCTCAGTCGTCGAGCCGTCGCCGAGCTGGATCGACAACTTTGCGACGCCGGCTACCTGCCCGAGGCGCTCGATCGCACAACGCGTCTGCTCGATGCCCGACAAGACGACGAGCCAGAGCGGCCCGGGCTCGTTGAGACAATCTTTCACCCGATCCCGAGCGTGCAGAATCGCACCCGCGGCCCCATGAGGCTGGGCGTGCGGGGCGCCTGGGACGCGGCTAGGTTGGCCGTGTTCTTAAGTGCCAGCGGTGTCGGGCTCTTGGGGCGAGCTGTCCACTGCAACTGTGGACGGCCGGCCCTTTGGGTGTTTCTGCCGACGGACTGATCAACGCGCTGAAATCTGAAAGTGGTCGACACGCCGCGCGTAGTAATGCCGAGAGCATTCCTTCTTTCCAGGGGCGGATGACTATCCGATCGTGTGGGTCCGCGATTGCCTTCATCGTCATCCCCTGGCTCTCGGTGGCGTTAACGGCGGCGCCACCCTGAGGAGTTCACGAAGGAGGACTTGGCGGCGCTCTATCGAGCACGATGGAACGTGGAACTGGACCTGGGGTCGGTCAAGACGACCATGCGGATGGAGGTGCTGCGTTGCAAGACACCCGAACTGGTGCGTAAGGAGATCTGGACGCACGTGCTCGCCTACAACCTCATCCGCACCATCATGGCGAAGGCGGCAAATCGGCACGATCTCTTGCCACGGTCGCTTAGCTTCAAGGGGGCGATGCAGACGCTCGAAGCCTTCCAGCCGCTGATCGCCTGTTGCTCACGCCTTCGCCAACTAGCCTACGAACAACTCCTAGCCTGCATCGCGACCTACACCGTAGGTGATCGGCCCGGACGATTCGAACCTCGGCAGGTCAAGCGA